TGCCTGCAGCTTGAGACGTTCTTGCGACTGCGCCCGTGGCCATGTTGGCTTCCTGCGCTTAGAACCGAAAATGAAATCACTGAGAGCCTCCTTAAACGACATGAAAGCGGAGAAGCCTGTGTCGTGTAAAAGTTTCATGACTTCTTCGCCAATACTGGTCCAACGGGCGGAAAGCTCTGAGAAGGTAATTGGGTGCTGGGATGTCCGGCTCCGTTTAGGGGAATGTAGGGGGAGTAGCTCTTCGGCGGCACGTCGTTTGAGCGGATTGTGAGCGAGCATGGAGTGGTGCGCACAAGCAGGTTGCGTTGATATCTTTACAAGACTACCTGAACTGGCTACTTGAGACATTCTGTTTTACACGAGATCTTCCCTCCTCTTCGCCGCTACTTTTATCCTCCACCATTTCGATGATGCACACACAATTTTACATCTCTCCAGCCTTCCCTCCAACGCGTACGATCATTCGATACTGCGCGCGTGCAAGTCCTTGACTCCCTGCAACGCAGGTGAAACGGTTATCTAAAGCATGATCGCACGAGCGCTCTAGCGCGCCCACTGCTGAGCCGCCGTACAGATGGCTGGGCGCGCGAGTTGCGCTGGCGGGGCTCGAGTTCGCGTACACGCTCTTCGCGATCGCGCACGCGTTGCACGCGAATGAATGCTCCCGCAGGTCGACACCGCGTTCGCGCGGACCACGAAGTGCGTGCCAAGGCCCGGCACGCTATGCAATAAAATGACAATATTATACTCAAAGCGCCCAATCAGCCTGACGCTTAAAACCCCTCGCGGCTTGCAGACACGTCGAATGCGTCGTCCGGCATACTCTCCCAATGAACACGCAGAGATCTTTGTATATATGACTAGATATTCCAGGTTGGTTGTCTCAGCCGCCACGCTCCAGCCCGAGGCAGTTCCCATCAAGCCCAAGACACCTCCTGAAGACGCCTGCGCCAAGCCCAAGACGGCTGCGAGGATAATGTATTCTGCGCGAGATCTATGAAGAAAGCGCGAGGGTAAGTGCGGCGCGGCAACTCCCTAGCACACTGGTCTAGTTTGACGACCTTTGACAACAAGCTGAGCCCGCGGGACCACTTCTTCACAGCCAACCAGTATTGGTCAATAGAACACGTCTCTCCTTTTTTGCTTAGGAATTCGTCTACTTATCGGGTGCGCTCGCCAGGCTATGCTACCTGAGGCCTGGTCTAATATGATCTAACCTAGCTACAAGTAGAAGGGACTGCGGTCATAAAGACTAGACGAAAGGAGATTGTAAGCCCATAAAAATACAATAGCATAAGAAAAGAAAGGAAATATCTGTGCGTATGGAAAAGGGAATGACGATCGAGAACAGCCGAAAACTTTGCTTCCGAGCGCTGACTCGTCGCGATAGCAGGCTATACCGAGACTCGCTGTTGAAGCGCTCTCTGCCGCTCGCGTGTGGGCTGTGATTATGGCCCTGTTTTGAGATGGAAGACAATAAGAAACTCGCAATTAGGTCCAACACCTCATCTCTTACCTAACGCCTCCCGATTACCATGACATTTTGCCACGCTACAACGTCCTTCTTTGGCTTCAACCGCATTCTGCGCCGTTCTAGAAAGCTTGGTTCATAGAAGGATTGCGGCAACCCTGTTATAGCTTCTCATGTAGATACCGGAGGATTGTCAGCAGTGCGCGTTCTGGGAACACGCTTTGCAGTTCTACGGCTCAGCTGCTTGTCCGCTTGGACTTCAGAGTCGATTATAGAGAGATGTTTGTCCAACTCTGCCGTCCGCCATAGCAACTTCTTCGTGATGAATCGAGGCTCGTAGGAAGTCTCCTCCATTTCACTCTCTTGCACTGGTAAAAATTTCAAGTCAGAAGTGAACAACTGGAATGATGCCTTTAATGATCATTTATATACTCCAGGACAATCAGAGCTTATGAAATTCTTCCAAGTGCGCTATGAGTGTAATGATGCCAGAGATGAATATGCTGCAGCCAGAATCAATGCCCACTTTGCTGCCATTGAGAGAGCAATAGCCTGGCGAAGATCTCTGCGGCGCTCGAAAAATCGGAATTAAAATGTCACCAGTACAACCGGTGGCACTTGTGTCGAGTTGGACGTGCAGACGAGCGGACGAGCGGAGGCAGGAGACTAGCGTAACCGAGCTGAAAGAAACAGGAAGCGTCTATAGCTGGGCTCAGCGAAATAGGCGCGGAGGAGGGTGACCTGCCTGTTTCGTTGAGCCCGGTTATCCTAGACGCCAAAATGCCTGTTTCGTTGAGCTCGGTTATCCTAGACGCCAAAACGCCTGTTTCGTTGAGCCCGGTCACTTTAGGCACCTAATGTTCCGGTTAGATTGATACGTGTGTCGGGACGCCACAGCGTCGGCGGGTGCCGCCGAGTGCCGCCCTCGCCCGACGGTTTGATAGATGGTCTGGGCCTGACGCGGCTCGTTGCCGGGTTGCTGGGTTGCCGAGTAGCCGGGTTGCCGGTTGCCTTATCTGTGGGGCGACAGACGGGGCGGGCAGCGAGCGCACAGTGGGCGCACAGTGGGTGGGCAGTGGGCGGGCAGCAGGCGCACAGTGGGCGCACAGTGGGCGGGCAGTGGGCGGGCAGTGGGCGGGCAGCGGGCGGGCAGTGGGCGGGCAGCGGGCGCGGTGGGCGATGAGCTTTCCTCACTGAAAACATCCCGACTTTTCTCCACAGTGGTTTCAAGAGAAAAAGTCCAAGCTTTTCGTGGAACTAAATTTTAAGAAAATGTTCAGAAGCAAGAGATGTTCTCTAGACACAGAAAGGCGAGCTACTGTAGGAGAAAAAATGCGCAAAAACAGCCAGAGATTTTTCGGAGAAAAGATTTGACCAACTGAGTAGCATACAAGTTCTAAGAGCAGGGTGAATTTTTATGGCCAATTTTCGTGGAGAAAATACAGTCTGTCTGGTAACCAAAAATACAACAATTTCTTAATTATTTTTTGAAGCTGTTTATGCATATTTTATGCGACAAAAAAGTAGCAGATTTCTCTCGTGCAGGCAAGCGGAAGCGGGCCCAGCGGGCCCGGACTTCGCCGGACGGAGACTGCGTCGGACATCAAAGTGAGATGTGCAGTCTCAGCGACTTTGCACTGGGCACACTTCCACTACTGACGAAGCCTCTACAAAATCGAACGCCATAACTATGGATACTCTGCAAAGTTGATAGGAAATTTCGCGTGAGAGCTGACCCTGCCAAGCGTCATGATCCGAGTACCCAAAGGAGTCCGCGTGCGTGATATGCTTCAGAACAATGAAGGTGGTGGTATTGATGACATTCCGTGAATCAGCTAGTTGTTGCTTCAGCTCTTGATGTATCCCGGCCTATAGGTGCGTTGTGCCTGACGCTTCTCTGCGGACCCTGTCTGCGACGCGCTGTGTCATACGAGTTCATGTTTTTCCGCTGTCAATTTTCCGGAGTGTCCTTTAGCAGCCACGAATTTATTTTTGTCCTGGTTGCGTTAGCTGTGTCTGCCTTTGCAGGCTCAGCTTTGTCCCCCGGCTTGACCAGTCTTTCAGGCTAAATTGTCGAAGCTGTGAGTTGCTTGCTTGCTCCACCCCTCTCCCCCTCTCTCTCGGCCACTGATCAAGTAACTCTTTCCTCAGGACACCATAGAGGTCTTCACAACGGAGATCGGCGTTCTGCTCTGCGACGCGTTCTTCAGGAAGTAGGTCGACCTCGTTAATGAATTCGCGTTGCAAAAAAGCAGAAGTATCAGAAGACAGGGTACAATAACCACACCCCGCCCAAGTTTAAGGGCAAAGAAAGCTTATGTTGGGCCCAAGGGCTCCTTCCTCAACGTGATTTTAAATTTCTTCTCGTGTACGCTGCACTCGTGACGTGATCACTAACTCGCCACCGCAGGACGGTTAACCAAGCAACTTCTTCAGCGACATACCCTTGCAGCTTTACCGAGCCGCGACGATGCATGTCGGCGCATTCTGGCAGACCGCAGCGAAGGGATTTCGGAATTAGGTTCTCATTCTGCACGGAGGACGAGCTGCGGGATTATTCGTACATGGCTGGGGCCCCGCGACGCTGGACGTTTTTGACCGTGCTCTGAGAGCGGCTGTGATGCTCCTGAATGCTTGTCTCTTCTGGCGTAGTATGCGCGGGGGCACTACCCAGTGGATACTACCTTCAATCTGAACGCGATCAGCCGCCTCTAAGCTTGCGTCCACTTCTTATGGATCCAATCGAGATGGCTCGCAAGTCGCAGCACTGAAGAGCGTTCTGACTATCTCGCACGGTTGCGACGGCCGGACCTCAACCTCCACTTTGGGGCGGTTTGTACCGAAGCACAATATTCATTAATGCACATGCCACGATGCTTTGGAACTTCGTGCAGCTTCGCCAGGCATGTGCTTATAGAAGATGCAAAAACTGCGAGGCTATAGTGCTATGCAGGTATAGCCCGTTATTGTACGCTAAATATGTACAATATTCACGTAATATAGGATGCGTGTACTATACTATAGATACGAGGTGTCCATAAATAATGGGCTCATAAGAAGTCATTGAGGCAAGTTCTAGTGTCTGCCAACCATGCTGCCAATCAAACTACGGTCAAAGGAACGAAGAGGACCTGGAGGGCCGGCTCAGGTCCAGCCTACGAAGGGAATTGTCAGCTATACGGCGCCTGGCAGTCAGACAAATCGACGGGTGCTTACTCCGATCAAGTTGATATGCGTAGCGATGAGAGCGATATTCTCGCCGCTAGTGAACGACGTCGGAACCTCGATCGAGAAGTTCTGGTATTGTGGCTTTCCAACACCAGTTTCGGGGTGGTACTGGGGGTTGTAGGGCCCGTTGTAAAGTATTTGGCCGAGCTGGTTAGACGGGTTGTAGCTAGGGTCGGTGCACCCGACGGACGGGCAGGGCGCCATCGAGAGCACGAGTGCGACCTCAGTCGACGGGGATTGGGCACCCTGCAGACGTCGTGGTCAGCATTGACTGCGCCGACGCTATCGTGAGTTGAAACGCACCGGTTTGTCGACCTCAACCGTGACCCATTGGCCCGGGCTGACAGTCGAGTTGGCGGCGGGGATGTTGATGACGATGTTCTGCGCGAGACAGGTAGCAGCGAGAGCGGTGATGACAGCGAAGTACTTCATTATGGTGATTGATTGGAGAGCGGAGTGAATAGAATTAGTCGAGTTCCAATGCGCAGAATTATACGAGACCGCTTTGCATGAGACATTATATATGGCAAGATCTTCTGGCGCTGTCGGGCAAAAGAGCCCCGCTAATGCTTGAAGGCTGTTCTCCATTACCTTTGCACCAATTTGATATATGGACGTATGGGCGGCATGGATCCATTTATGGACAGCCGGGACTGATGGATTAGGCGGAACTGATAAACTAGGCAGGACTACGGCTATCGTGCCCGCGTCCTAGCCTAGTAAAGCCTGAAGCCTTGAAGAGGTTATCAAACGGCCTAGTAAAAACACGGGGAAGCCGCACGCAAGCATAAACAATGATTCTCACCTATAGAGTAGGGTACATTTTCGGCGGATGTTCGAGATTGCGGGGAGGGGGCACACCGCATTGCAAGCAACGCGGCCGCACATGCCGACACGCTCGGACTTTGCACAGCACCGCGGATGCCTGTGCACTCGTCGAGATCGAGCACCGCCCAGGCGGAGGCTAAAGATGCGCCTCATGAACTAGCTACCATCACGTGGTTTGTGACTGATGTGACCACGCTAAATGGATAATTCGCAGAATCGCAACGTTGCAAGCCTCGCCCTCGGCCGCAAGGTCAAGAATTGCGATCATGTCATTTTCGAGAGTCGAGACCACTAAAATACTTCTCAAGAGGTTGCAATCCACGCTAGTAGCTACATCGGGCTCGAGAATCCCTCGCCGCCCATGTCACGCAAGTCACGTGATATTAGCGGCCTGTGCATGTGACTCAAAACGACGCGCCGATGGGGACAAGACTACGACGGCGAAGCTCCGGAATCTCGAGCACTCTCGTGGAATTGTTATCCTGCGCATATAAAAGGCATGCTGTCGAGGAATTATATCTATATCGTACCATTAACTATCACTACTGTTACAATATCCTATCCCGGCAAAATATGTGATATCGTTAAGCTGCGAGACGTGAAGCCAGGTGACTGCGGGTACGATGCGAGTCTCGAGATGAACGTGGACAGGGAACAAAATGCGGATTAAATTATATCGGAGTAGTGGGGGAAGGAGCGACAGCTGTCCGAATAAAAAGGGAGGGCATAGTTCACGCAAGCGCGCACGCGCCCTCGTTCCAATCCTCGCGCGTGATGACGCCGACGGCGCGGCACACGGGGCACGACACCTCCGCCTCCACCTCGCCGTCCTCGACCTCGCGCTTCTGGTCTGCTCCGCTCCAGCCCGCGACGCGCTCCGCGCTGACGAGGCACGCGGGATGGAACGCGTGCTCGCACGCGCGGTCGCGCTCGTGCTCCTGGCCCTTCAGCGGCCGAATCGCGACCCGGCGGATCGTGCGCGGGTCGACAACCGGCAGCGGGTCCTCGTCAGACGGCCCGAGCCCGCAGCTGATGTCCGAGCAGCGCAGACCGAGCTCCCGCTCCTTCCGCTCGACGCGCTCGCGCAGCGTCGGGCCCGGCGGTGCCGGCGGTGTCCACTGGCGTTTCTCCGGTAGCGGCTGCTGGGGACGCGGCTGGTTCGGAACAGTGAAGGGTATCGGGCCCGGTGGAGGCGGAGGTGGGTGCACAGCACCGTTTGTGGGTCGGGGTGGAAGAGGTACGAAGACTCCCATAGGGAAAAGCTGCTCAAGGACAGAAGTAGCAAGATCGCGGACACTGTCCATGAACGGTCCATCGGGCGGGCGCATATGCACGTGCGGGTGTGGCGGGTGAACACCAGCAGCGGCAGCGGCAGGCTGCTGAGGCCGAGGCGGACTCTGCTGGCCTTGCTGATCCTGCTGACCTTGCTGGGGCTGAGGTCCAAGACCGACGAGATGCATGAACTCTTCGAAGCTCGGCAACGGTGGGTGATTATGATGATGACGCCGAGCTTGAGGGCCAGGCGCGGCGGTTGGCTGGGGCTGGGACTGGAGCTGAGGCTGAGGCTGAGGCTCCGGAGCCGGCTGAGCCTGTGGCTGCTGTGGCTGCTGCGACTGCCGGGGTGATTGCGGTGGTTGCAGCGGCTGTGGCTGCGCGTTCGCACTATTGCGCTGCTGGCCTCGTCCAAGACCAAACATATTGGCAAACAAGCTGCCCAAACCGCTTCCAGAGCCGGGGTTGGCCTGCGGACCCGCCCCGCTGTGCACACCAAGAGGCGGCGCACCAAGCGGGAACGGCTGCCAGAACGACCGCGACCCCGTTTGTGTCTGCACCTGCGCTGAATGGGCTGGATGGGACTGGGACTGGGGTTGGGGTTGGGGTTGGGGCTGAGGTGGTGGGGAAGAAGCAGGCTGAGACGCGGGTTGGTTGGCGTCCTGGTTTGGCTGCGACAACGGACGACTGAGGATTAGCTGCTCAAGCTGGTTACGATCCATGCGCACGATCCCCGGCGGAGCAACAGAAGTAGCATGTCGATGGCCTGGAACCGCCACAGGTGGTGGCATCGGCTGCCCAAATACCGGGACTTGTAGTGCTGGCGGTTGCTGTGGCTGTGGCTGTGGCTGCTGCTGCTGCTGCTGCTGCTGGGAGGCATTCTGGCCCGGGGCTCGCGGCGGCTGTGAGATCGGGAACATGCTAACGTCGAAAACGAAATACGGCATATCGCGTCCCGCGTCCAGGCCAGGACGTGGAGCGGCGCCTGCACCGGCCTGCGGTTGTGGTGGTGGTGCCACGTTCGGGGTGCTATCAGCATTGTGTACTGCAGCCTGATCAGCAGGCTGCGGCTGAGCCTGTGGTTGAGCACCGGCGGCGGCGGTTGCAAGAGCCTGCCCAGCAGGTTGCGCCGCGGGTCGACGCGGTCGAGACCGTCGTGATGGCGGAACGTATGTCAGCGACTCGGGGTCGATGTCGAAACGGCACGTCGGACATGTTGTGCGATGAGGACGTGTAAACCACGGCCGCAAACATGACGCGTGGAAGACGTGTGTGCAAGGTAGGACAATGACCTTACCATCAAGCTCTTCTGCAGCTTTCTTCTCCTGGTCCGACGTATCATCGTCGGAATCGGGTGGCGATGGCGTACCTTCTGCTTCAACCTCCATCTTCTCTTCGGCCGACTCCACGCCTTCCGGGTTGAGCAAGCTTTCGAAGCAGACTGCGCACACGATCTGCTCTCCTTCGACCGTGCCCACATGCTCCATGCGCTTGACGAGCCCCTCCGGGACTTGCTCCAGGCCTTTCAGGAGCCTTTTGGCGCGCCCAGGGTCCTCAGGCTCTTCTGCGCCGAAGCCGGCGAACGGCCCCCACGGCATGTTCCCCATACGCAGCGACTGCAGGAAGGCATTGAAGTCTTCGTTGGGAGTGCGATGCACGTGTGGCGCATCACCTTGGGCACCATCAGCAGCCGGAGCAGGGGGTGGGAATGGGAATCTGAGCTCGAAGAAGACGGGTGGAGCCGCCCGTCCGGGAGCGGGTTGTTGCGGGTTGCCACCTGGAGCAGGGGCGGCGCCCGGCGGTGCACCAAGGATGGGCAAGATGTCAACGGTGAATGATATGCGGTTGAAGGGCAGTGGGAGGCGCTGAGGATGCGGTCCACCCGGCTGTTGCGCCTGCGCCTGTTGCTGCTGCTGCTCCCGGTGCTGTTGGGCATGAATGTGCATATCGGGGTGGAAATGGTGGTCATCTGCAGGGCGATCGCGATCGAGGTGAAGGGGATGCATGCGCTGACGATTTGTCTGGCGTTGTTCATCCTCATCCTCGTCGTCGTCTGCCCGCGCACGCCTCGAGTTCCGCGATGCGCTCTGCGTGCGCGAAGCCAGTTCGTCTGCAGGATAGGCAGGTGGCGTGCCGACATTGCTGAGCGGAAGCCATGGTGCAGGAGACTCGATGTCTATCGAGGCCTGCGGATCCGGGTTAACATGAAGGGAGCGCATAGCAAGGCTGGCAAGACTTGCCGACGCAGTCCCGTTTTCCGACGTCTCTGAAGCACCGAGCCCGTGTGAGGATGCCAAGTGCGAGGCTACAGCTAGCTGTCTCTGTGACCCGCTATGATCTGATGGTTGGCGAGGCCGTGGGTCTTGAGGCGACTGCTCAGGAAGACCCGGGTGTGAATGGTTATTTACTTGATCTTGATCCATGCTGGATGGAATAGCCAACTGAGGACGAAGATAACGACGAGAACGGTCCAATCTAGGGTAATACGCGAAAGAAAGGAGCAGCAAAGACCGTAGGGTGGTGGGGGCAGGCAGAAGAGGTGGTGAGAGGCTGCGGTAGTCCCAAATACTGCCTGTACCGCTTGCTTACCAAATGACGTCGAGTAAGCGCTAGAATCTTCCACCTATTTCTACCTAATTCGGAGTCAGTGAGCTTGATCTGGATTGGATTGTACAAAATGCTTTAATTCTGGTACGTTAATCAGCCTAAAGCGTCCATCTCCACGCTTCAGCACATCGTCCATCTTGTTCTCTTGTTCTCTCTGAGGCTTGCGGCTGGCGTTGACGTTGAAATGTTGATGACCACACTCGCTGTATCTACGGCAACGGTTCTCTGCAATAATTGCGCTTGATGAGCAAGCTCGCTTTGGTGTCAGCAGTGCCAGCAGCTCTCACAGTGCAGCTCTGGTAATAGGGCCCGCGCAGGCCGGATGCTTGCTCAGACTGACTCAGCTCAGTGACCGGTCGTATTATTCTCCCCCACTGCGTATTCATCACAGCATCGAGAACTCGGGTACTTGCCAACTCGCGGAGGGCTGGTCCCCGGTATAGGCAGCTCCGTCGCCATTCCAGAGTCTCATACTCAGTACTGAGTAAATGCGGCTTAGCACACTCGGCGGCTCGGCGGCTCGGCATCATGTTATTAGTTCGCGCATGCCTACTTACATGGTGTGGTGACAGTCCTTTAAACAGCTAAAAGTACATCAAAGCAGAAACCTGTATACCAGAAACCTTAATCGCCTCAGTCCCTGCGCTGCACAACGACAGGGAGCTCCCCGACGACAAAGATGAACATATCCTCCGCCGCATGCTCATACTGCTCGGGGCTGGTACCGTCTGCGAAGTGCACGTCGAGCTTCTGCATGAAGTGGCACAGCAGCTGCCTGATCTCCGCGAGCGCGATGTTCTTCCCAACGCAGTTGTACGGCCCGAACGAAAACGGCATGAACGCGTTCGGGTCGTGCGCGATCTCCTCTCCTGCCGATGCGGGCTCGATGCCCTCCGCGATCAGCCACCGCTCGGGCCAGAACTTCTCAGGGTACGAGAAATTGCGCGCGTCCCGGTGCACGGACCAGGAGTGGATGCGCGTGTGTGTGCCCTCAGGGATGTAGCTGCGGCGCGGCCGCGCAGGTTAGAGTTTGGCAATACGAGGCGACCAAATGTGAGACATACTAAGGGCCGACAACCTTTCCACCCTTGCCGACTTCCGGCGCGCGCGAGCTGCCGCTGGGCACTGCAGGGTAGAGCCGCAGGCCTTCATTGCTGTGGCGCAATAGAGTAAGTGGAGGGTCGCGAATCCCCGGGATGGCGAACGCTCACGTGACGGCCTCGAGATAGTCCATGTCCTTGAGATGCCTCGGATTGAGCGAGTCCTCGCCTGGTGGGTAGAACTTGTCGACTTCGGCCTGTAGCCGCTTGTACACCTTTGGGTGGCGCAGGAGCTCATACATGGTGTTGGCCAGGACGGTAGCGGTCGTATCCGAGCCCGCGATCACCGCGAGCAGGCCGTCGCCGACGACAATTTCTCGCGGTGGGGATTCCTTGTCCGTACCGTCTTCGTTGCTCTGCGAATGCTGCATTAGCCGCCACTGAGCCAGTCCCAGATGGTCTGTGTGTGCTCACAAGATAATAAAACAGGTCTTTCGACATCGACCCCGATGCGTAACGCTGCTCAGAGCGGGCGAGCGCCATCGCACGCATCTTTTTGTTATCCTCCCCGAGCTTTGAAAACTTCTTTGCGTAGTACGAAGTCCACGGAACCTCGCCCCAGAGGGCCCCAATCCTGTGGTTTGCAACGGTCAGCGACAGGGGGCTCCGCGAAACACAGATGTCGCAGAAACACACCTCAGACCACGGTGCAACAAATCCCAGAGGCCGTCCTTGTCTACGCCATCCCTTATCATCTCAGTCCAACCCCCGAACCTTTCGGGGATCAGGTTAGCTGCGGGCCAGTTCGCCGACATGCAGCGGTTACTTACATGATGTCGCTCATGAAGTCATATCTGCAGATGCACGCCTGTCAGTACCACCGCATACAACGAATATTTGCGAAGTTGAACCCACGTGAAGAAGCTGAGCCATTCCGCAAGGTCGAGGACTTGGCCTTGGCGGTCGCCTAGTGCCTCGACGAGCTGTTGGACGCGGTGCTGGATGACGGGCTCGAACTCTTTGACGGACGCGTTGCTGAACGCACGATTCCAAGGCTTGCGCCGATGCATGTGCTCCACGGGGTCTCGGTAGCCAATTAGGGGCGGGCGCTCGGGCCACATGTTCCGCCCGTAGAACACTGCGAAAACGTCGGCATGTGAGCGTGCATATCTAGAGACGAGATACAGATCTGCGACGTACTGTCGCTCTTTGGCATGCCCTGCGCGCCGAGCACGGGCGTGATACAAGAAACATCGCGGATGCTCACGTCGTTGGGTCCTAGAATTTAAGTGCTCAGCAAAGAGTCATCAGGGGAAGTAATCCTCGACGCACCGATCCTCACGATGTCCCCGTACCTTTCGTGCATGCGCTGGATATACAGGTGTCGCTTGCCCTTGTAGACCTGCCATACGTGCCACCACTGTGTAATCTTGGCAGGCAGCGGCCCAGGATATTGATAGAGTGGGTGAAGCGGGCTGACACGGTAGGCGATGATCGAGAGCGAGAGTGCAGACCAATAGGTCAGGAAGCATACGGCGACCCCGAGTGGTGTACCGAGGTGAGGGGTTAAGAGCATCGACAGACAGGCTGGTATGAAGAACAGAAGGAAGGCGAGAATGCGGAACTTGGTGGGTTCCCATTTCTTGAATACGAGATGAACTCCCTGTAAGGAACAGCTTAACATACCGTAAAGCTTGAAAGATAATCAAGGCTTGATACTTACAGCCGCCGACAAGACGATGATCAGGAATGCATCCCTCAATGACAGAATGGGCAATGGGGCATCGCTATCCAAGGCGGGGAACCGCAAGGACGCAGTCGTTATATCAGGCATCGAGAGGATGATTTTGCAGGGCTGCATGGAATTGCGATCAGATCAGGTGGCAAGAGGAGTGGCAAGAGGAGCAGACAGGCTACGTACAATCTGACTTCTAGGGTACGTCTCTCAGTGGTATCCCGAGAGCAAGCTGGTTCATACTGTTCGCATTTCGCGACTTATATCTAGAGCACCGCGTCTCTCCAGGTATGGTGTGCGTTTGAGATAACTCCCGCACACAGCTCCCAATCTCGTGGCCTTCGGCAAGCCTGCAGCCCCGACTCATTCAATTTTGAACTACCTTTGAGGGGCAATTGCGCGGATCGCCAGGGCGACTAAGGTCTGCCAGCGGGTGTTTGAGGCTCGGGGTGGCTCTGCCCGAGGTGGCTTCTGCCCGAACGCTGTTTCATGCGCGGTGCGCGACGGGGTCTGATGAGGCTCAACTTTGCCGAGGCCTCCGCTCCGGGTCGGCTAGTGCGTGAGGACGGTTTGCAAAGCGGTTGAATAGCGGGACGTAACTGACCGCGCACTCCACCGCTTCTTGCGCGTCCCGCCCACAACGTCAACCAATCACAGGAGCTCCAGCGGCGATAGCAAGCATAGCGCACGCGTGCACAGTCACGACAATCGCTCGCTTCGCGGTGTCGGCTTGCGGGGGTGTTCGCCTTGGAGAGAGATTAGTAACTATCGCATATCCTCTTTAGCATGCGCATGCGTTATGGACAGATGGCAGACAGGTGACCCAACCTCGCAGAGGCGTCGGCAAAATGCTTCGGTTTGTGCCCGATCCTGGCGGCGCCGCCAGCGCCACAAAGCCGTGGGGCCTCTCATGGCGTCTATACCAGCCCGACGGCGGAACAACGATTGTCGCAGGTCCAGGAGCGTGCGTCACCGCGTAACCACGAATTATCCACCAATTTATCTCCCCGTTAAGCCCTGTGCGGAATTGAGTGTGTTTTGGGACATGGTGATGTCCTGCATGCCTGGGTGCCCAGGCTGATCCGCCATTACCGTTCTGTGCCAAGGACAAGTAAGCAGGGCGACATCATCGCCATCGGTCAGGGTCCGGGCGACTCAGCAGTAGGTGCCGGAAGCTCCAGATCGACTGGTCGTCCGTCGCAGTTGATTCCTGTCGATCCCGGCCTCCGGCAACCAGTCCCCTCCGGTGCCTTGTTCTGGCAGGCCATAGATGCAAAGCTGAGTAAACTCTATGCAGCCCCGAGGATGTCGACGCCCGTACCAAAAGGCCTTCGCAGAACTCCTTGAACATCGAATCCATCCCACTTCGCCGCACCCGCACAAACACAGGCATGACAGTCGACGTGTCTGCAAACCCACTGTTCATCTCCGTCCCCCACTCGTTATACTGCCTGCTACGGGGCAGCGCAAGGTGCAGCAGCACGCAGCACAGGACGATGGCATGTCTTGCGTCGCAAAGTCTTTCCCGGCGCAGTCGCTCTGGGCCGCACGAGAGCGGGACAGACGCGCCCGGCTCGTGTACGAAACCCGGGGCGTTGTCGATGTGCTGCACGCTGGCAATAACAAGCCAGCGCTCAGGCCATAACGCCTTTGAACGCGAGAAGTAGTGCTTGATGTCTCGCATCATCTTGATGTTAGGGTAAGAGGCAGTAGGGGATGACGGAAGCGGAATGACAAAAGCGGTACCAGGCGGCCCAGGTGAACGCGTCAGCCTTGAATGAGCCCAGGCTGGGCGAAGAGCAACAATGCGAATATGTTGGGCACACCAAGCAGAAAGGTCGTGACAACAGGCACGCTGGTTACCGTCGGTTGAAGACCAGGTAAGCGAGTACTTCAGGGGCGGGGCTCAACTGAATGATATATTTCGGGTACGCACCTGAGTGGCAGGGACGACGGTCAAGACCCTCTCTGAGGACGACAGCCTTGCAAGATCTTCTGGTTTGACGATATGTCTATTGTAGATGGTGTCTGAACATCGGCGGAGTCCTAAAGGTCTTCTGGCGTCGATTGTGATATCGGCCTGACGAACGTTTTACGGCAGTTTTGCTGCTCCCTGTGCTCAGGACACGTGTAATACTGGTGAGCCACATAGAGTATGGGCTGCTTGCTCCCCGACTTGATCCGCTATTGCTGCATGTCTCCGTTATCTTGGCTATCTGCATACATAACATCTAATCTCTTCGAATCTCTCCTATGTGTTTCCTCGTTCGCTCGCCCATCTGTTGTTCTCTTATTGACTTATGAAACTTCTTAGCCAGCGTATGTCATGCTCACCAATCTGACCTCCTTCTCGTGGCACATTGGACAGCATCAGCTTTGTTTGATCAAGATCTATTTGCCACCCGCCCTGGACGGCACACCTCTGCACCGGGCTGGAGCGGAGACGGCGAACATATCGCCAACCCTATTAATTATCATGCATGATAGCGAGCGCAGCTTCCTCCAATGCAGTGTGCACACGCGACGGTACTGCTGTAATTGTCTCTTGGAAAATATATGCGTGAATTGCCAAGCAAGGTTGCTGTTGTAATTTAGTTTAGGTTGGGCACGAGCGCGGGAGCGTCTGCTATTACATAAGCGAAGGGAGTGGGATCAAAACGGCTTCAAGCGTGCTCTCCACGACAAGGCTGTCTCTCAGAGATTCCCGACGAAGAGAGCGACATCTACTACCTTGGCGCAATCGTGAGGCCAACGATGACCGACGCATGACACTACGGCCTGTCTTGGATCCGCGGGCGACCTGGAAAATATGAGTTATTGCGTGTGTTGCGTCTTTCAGCCATTGTCAGAAGGGCTATACAAGACCCCGCACCAGCGAACCCATCCTCCGCCTGAAGATGGACCATCTTGATCCTAACAGCCACGATTCTCCGGCTGCGTACGGATTCACTGTCGACAATCACCTGCTACCCGCACTTCCTCAGGAGACGACCCCGGTGCGAAGATTAACAACAAGTCCGTGTTCAGGGATGCTGATGCTTCAGCGACTAGATTGCCGTCCCAGGGCCCACTGAGAAAATCTCTATTTCAACTGTCTTCCATCCGACCCTCGACGCCGGTACAGGGCCCCCAGACATCAAATTTATTGCGGCCGACAACGTCTCGTTCTTTGCGCACATTCCCCACATCCTCAATCGGTCAGTCAACCAATTCAACGACCTCATTCCCACTTCCTACAATGCCCAGGAGGGTGATGCCCCATTTGTCGTTGCTGTGCCCGAACCGTCGCCCGTTTTCAACATCATCTTGCACATCATCTACGGCTGGTCCTCCGCCGCTTTCACACATACTCTTGATGACATCGCCGCTACCGTCATCGCTCTCAAGACCTATGGCATGTCCACGTCGGCATGCCTGGCGCAGCACACGCCGCTATACACGCTCATGCTCGCTCACGCTTCGCTACGCCCGCTCGAGATCTACGCGCTCGCGGCCGAACACGGCCTCGAGCACATCGCGGTCGTGGTCTCCTCGCAGCTGGTCGCATACCGCCTGCACGAGATCACTGACCCGCTCCTTGTACGCATGGGCGCGCGGTACCTGCTCCGTCTCGCGAAGCTGCAGGCTACGCTCATGGAGAAGCTGCGCGACCTGATGCTCACCCCACCCGAGGGACATGCGTCCACGTCTACGTGCGGCTTCGCGCAGCAGCGAATACTCATGGGCGCGTGGGCCATCGCGACGGCAAGTCTGTCCTGGAAGGCGAAGCCTGGTGCGTCCGCACGCTAGTGCAGTGCAAGATATGCGACGACTAACGTGAGTTTTCAACGGCAGATCTCTCTGCGAGCGTGATTCAGGCAGCGTTCAATGAGGCCGAAGGCAGTCTTACGTGCGCACTGTGCAGGGACGCGCTCAGGACGCGCATTAGGCTAATTCTGTACCGATGGACTTTGGCCCTGGTGAGTCTTCCTGCCACTCTTGGCGTGTTGTGCTAGAAGCTGACTATAATTTTCAGAGAACTATCTAAGCCAGTTCTCGGTCACATTTCTACGAAATCTCAAGATCTGGGCCCATCATGCTATACCCCTTGTCGTTAGTGCTTTCCTTCGATCTGTTGCTTTGTACTTTGCTGCTGTTGAGCTCTTCATATACGTGGTGCTATTCACCTTCAGTTATTCTATCATTTGCAATGGGATCGCATATACAACGCGTGAGGCTCAAAGGGTGCATGCGAGAATGTGTCCATTTCGTAGTGCGTCCTATCGTGGTTCCAGACACCCGGGGTAGCCTCTTAAACGATAGCGAGAATCGCTGCGGTTCTGCGTCGGGGATCGACCTATGACGATTCAGGTGTCTGGACTTGGTATTCCACGAGTGCGATATTATGAGTAGGACTGTGCAGGCGGGGAGATTCACAAGTCGTTAACAACAAATTCGAAGAATATTACTACGTGTTCCTGCCTAATTTGCTTTCTAACTGAGTCGGACCAAGTGAATTGTCCGTTATAAATCGGCTGGAGCCAATTAGCGCGGATCACAGTACCATGACGCGATCGCGTCATGTCGGGGCGACGCGGCGCCTGATGATGCGCTTCAGCGGATCAACAGACAGGCGCCTCAGATGCAACAAGGATGTTGAGCTTCGCCAAGCTTTAGGGTATCTTCGAGAGAGCTGCTGACCACGGCCGCATAGTGCGGTACTTCTATGGACTTGCTAAGAAGCAGACAAGTCTTATGGAGCACGCCGCTCAACCTTTCCTTACTTCTTTGCAACTTCCGCTGCCCCCCGGGCCGCAGGCCACAACATCCTGTACAGCATGCGGGCGAAGAATATGTTTTCATGCCTCCTGTGCCCCATCGTCTTACGCGCATTGAGCGCCCATGCTACTTTTCGCTGGGGTCTACAGGCGCTTTTGCAGGTTTCTCGTTCCTCACCTCGTCCCCTGCATGCACACATATCGTTCTCCCTCTTGATTGACCTGTATGCAGCCAGGACTCTCGGGGTGCCAGGTGGGGTGTGCCTCGACTACACGTCCTCTGACGGTTTCGAGAGTCGTAATGCGGGGGCACAGGCCTACATCGCGAGCAAAGCAAGCTGCAGCGACGTCGACGGCTTGGTTGCTTGGCTGGTTGCCCGGCTGGGCATGCGCCTTGTCAGCTGCGTGTGTGCGCAGGTTTGTACTCGGGTTCCTGTTCTTTATCTCACTTCTTGTGCTGGCGATTGTCTCCCGCTGATTAGGAAGGGCGATTTGCAGACACAAGTTGCCTTCAACGCGTTAGGCACGTCCATGAGGAGGACTCTCCTCATGCTCCGCGCCAAGCCCGAGTACCGTGGCAAGTCTGTCTTCGAGATAGAGGGCCAAGTCCACTGCTGTATGTCATGCGTCGCAACGCGCTCACCAGCACTTGGAGCATTCCCGCGCTTGGGTGTCAGGTGCCAGAGAGTTTGGCAGCTATGAAGCCTATAGCCGCGGGTTCAGCCTTACATGTTATGCTCACCACAAAGAGAGCTCATCAGGTGATAGTACTCGCCCAAGGTCCTCACCACAATCAGACTGCGTCGATACATAGAGGTCAGCACGCCGTAATCATATGCACGGCGCGTCGTGCCGACTCGGCCCCTGCGTATCAGGTCTCGCGTAACCGGCAAACTAGCATCCGGGTTTCGGATCCTTTTCCCAAGCAAGAACCGTGGCTCACCTCCTCGAGGTAAATAGCTAGCATCGGCTCTGACAAGCAGACAATGACTCCGGGCTTGTAGTCTCAGACAACAAGCGCTATGCACATATGTCTCGTAGCTTTTGACTTCTCACGCTCAAACCGCGTTTCGAATGTTGCCGGGCTCGATAAACGGATCCCTGCGCTGTGATATCCGGTGGAGGCGGGGCTAGCTTAAGCTATAGATGCCGTATATAAAGTCTCGCGGCCGTCTCCATTCTCACTGCACCGTCCTTCTTCTGAGACAGCTGACCGGTACGCGACCTCTTGAGCGATGCACATCAAGTCCCGACTACCAGACCTGCCGCCCATCCCGGACGCGAACGTCTTCGATTTGTTCTTTACAGCCCCTCAAGGCACACAGATCCCGGATTACACTGTCTTCATCGATGCTGCCACTGGGCTCAAGCACTCGTTCCGCAACTACTGCGAGTTCGTGCGCGACGCGGCAACGGCGCTCGGGGCGGTGCCGGCCCGCGGCGGCCTGGGGCTCAGCGGCGAGGCCGGCGACATCGTCGGCATATTCAGCCATAACTGCGTGGTGCGTGAGCTGTCAGGCCTTCGAGCCCAGGGGGCGCGCCACGCACTGTGCTGACCGCAGTTGCAGAGTTACCTCGCGCTTGCGCATGCGCTCCTCGCCATAACGACGCCCTTCGCGAACCTGTCGGCGTATGCCACGGTGTTCGAGCTTACACACGCCTTGCGGACAGCAAAGCCGAAATTACTGTTCGTGCAGCCGGCCCTGCTTCCGACTGCACTTGCTGCGGCAAAAGAAGTTGGTTTGTCTGAGACTCGCATCTACGTCCTGGAAGGTACTGCCAGCGATGGACGTCTGAGTTTACAAGGCTTGGTCAACCGCGTCCGGAAGAGCCCTATTCCTCGAGAACCCATTCGTCCCGCGAAGAAGAACACGCTGGCATACCTCGTGTTCTCGAGTGGGACCAGCGGTCTGCCAAAGGGTGGGCTGGTATAATCGTTTCTGCTGAATCACACTGAAAATTCCTGTCCAGCTGTCATGGCTTCGCATGGAAATGTTTGGGCGATGGTACTCATGACAGTCATATGGAGACAAGAGGAGGTGAAATTCCTCCAGGTGCGTCTAGGAGCCTTAATTGTCGGTCTTCGGTTAATCCTCCCCCTAGCTGACCCCGCCGAAAGAACCGCCAATCGCGCTGTGTTTCCTGCCGCTCTACCATGCCTACTCACTGAATGTCGTCGGTTTCCACATGTTCAGCATCGCCCCTTTGACTCGCGTCATCATGGATAAGTGGAATACCAGTGCAGTCTTGAAAGCGATCCCCAAGTAAGACATCCATTCGTCAACCGCTGAATCGCTCGTTCTTTATCTTACTCCAATGAAGATACCGCGTCAACTTATTCGCGCTAGTCCCGTCTGTCGTGCACCAGCTGGTCAACCATCCCGAATTTGCCAAAACCGATTTTAGCTCTGTTATCGGCGCTGGATGCGGCGCAGCGCACCTTCCTAAGACACTGCGGGACAACTTCCAGTCGCGCTTCAACAACGCAGCACTGACGGCAGGTCTGTTTCCAAATTTTTCTTCATGAACCACATCGCTAACTGCGCGACAAAGGGTACGGCATGTCGGAGCTGGTGAGCCAGATTGCGCCCGTCTGGTCAACACCTCTACTGATATACATTCAGACTTACAGTCTTGCTCGCACTCCCCCTGACGGCCTGTACGGCTTGAAGGTACCAGACACGTCGTGCGGTCTCATCAACTCTGGCGCTGAGGTCCGCACGGTGCGCGAGGAAGGCTCGGAGGCCGACGTCGATGAGCCTGGCGAGCTGTGGGTCAAGGCGCCTACCGTGGCCCCTGGCTACTACGGGAACGAGAACGCGACACGGGAGACTTTTGTCAACGGCTGGCTGAGGACGGGAGACTGGATGCGCATCGACAAGGACGGGTTCTTGCAGTACGCTTCGCTGTCATGAGGGACGTCGTCACCATACTAACTTCGTGTGCTGCGTAGCTTTGTCGAGCGCAAAAAGGACACACTCAAGGTCGGCGGAGCGCAGGTCTCACCAAGCGAGATAGAAGAGGTCCTGCATGCACAGCCAGACGGACTCATTATCGATGCATGCGTCGGCGGGGTGTCTGGTGGCAGGACGTCGGACGAGAAGGTTCCGCGGGCTTGGATTGTGCTCAGCGACAAGGGCAAGCGCCGAGGAGCCGATGAGACCATTAAAGTCCTGGAGACGTGGACTAAAGAGAATCTGAGCCCATACAAGAGGCTACGGGGTGGGTTCGAGGTCGTCGACGAGGTAAGATCTCGCTGTCTTTCCTTCGGTGACACTCATCGTCTTCATCGAATCCTATTGTGCGCGCGAATGGGGAACCAAACCGTCACTCGGGACTGGTGATGCTGGGAGGTCCAGCTATGGCAGTCTCGTCAAGACGGCGTACTATCAGACGCGTGCCGTCTAGACAGCTCAGCTAAGAGTAAATTCCACATATATATTATCGTGATACGACGACTGGGCTGCGCGAGCGCGAACTGGCGAGCGGCACGCGGGCACGATCCAATACACACGGGGGGACTAGTCTGAGTGCGAAGGGAGAGAGCACGCTGTATAGATCTAACCTAATACACACGGGGGGATTAG